TCTCGGGAACCTCGTGCGGTTTTACATGGTAGCGGAGCTACGGCTCCAGGGAGTTTAAACGTGCTGTGGCTCGGTGGTGCTGGATATGGCTGAAAAGAATGATCCCTTTCGGGACCTGACATTCAGTGGAGCGCCTTCGGACTACAGGTTATTTCGGCGAAAGATTTTGCTGAATGTGGCTTCTCTTGAGGAGAAGCATGTGAGGCTGGCAGGACCCAAGATCCTGACACGCCTAACAGGCGAGGCCTGGCGAGCCACTGAGCACCTCTCGATTTCAGAGCTGCGCTCGGAGGATGGCTGGCTACTCGTGCTGAAGGCCTTGGACAACCACTACAAGTACTTGCCCGAGACCGAGCTGAACGAGTGCGTGGACGAGTTCTTGTTCCACTTGAAGAGGCGGTCGGGAGAAGGCCCGACAGCTTTTGTGTCTCGCTTCAAGTCTGTGCTGAGCCGGCTGGAGACCTTGATCGCGGCGGAGAAGTCAGAACGCGGATCCGCCAAGAGGAAGCGAGGACGTCAGCCAGAGCCGGCGTCTACTGGAAGCGAGAGAGATGATGACACGAGCGGTGGCTCGGAGGAGCCACAACTTACCAAGGAGAAGGTGGAGAAGGCCGCAGCTGAGGAGGCAGCCCAGGCTTCCGACTCCAAGGGCCCGAAGACCGTCGGTAGCTTCGTTGGGGAAAGGTCACCGAAGCGCGGCCCACCTTCTTCAGGCAGTCGTGGAACCTACAAGGGCGATGACGACAAAGCTCAGCGGAAGATGCTGGAGAGTCTCGGACGACTTGAAGTAGGCCACCTGAAGCTGAAGCCTGTCTTCCCGGAGGTGATTCTCGGACACCTCTTTATGAGGAAGTATGGGCTGAACAGGGAGCAGAGGAGCCAGGTCATACGCTCGACGGGCGGTTCCTGTAAGTTCCGAGACATCGAGCGGGTTATCCGTGCGTCCGACTACGAGGACCGAAATGATGGAGGGTCCCGTGGGACCCAGCACCGGCCGGGCCGGGCATCTGGAGCGGTGATGGCTGCAGAAGAAGACAGCAGTCTGAGCGAGCCGTCGATGTCTGATCAGGACGCGGATGCCTACGAAGCCGAGGCCTACGAAGGCAGTGAGGACGAGGAGTTCGAAGA